TACTATGTGCATATTAGTATTGTACAGCACTTTGGTCTACCAGGTGTGTTTTTAAAGTGCTATATAAATAAATTGATGATGATGATGATGATGATGATGATGATGATGATGATGATGATGGTAAAGCAAAGAGATCAGTTAAAAATATGTGATCGTAAACTTTGAAAGAAGGAAATAAAAGTACATGTTGATGTGACTTTAAAATGATTTATTAATTATTATTAAATTAATTATTTATTTATTCTGTTTTACATAAAGAGGATCAGTTTCAATTTCCTCTGCAGCTCAATAAAACCTGATTCATAAAGAAGATAGAATCTGTAGTTATACGCATGAATATAAAATTATAAATAAATGCATATACATATATTTTATTAATTTTCCAACAGTAAAAATATAAATCAGCTGCATTTTTCACAGTAAAAGAAAAATCTTACCTTGAATGCAGTCGTCTCTGATTTTTGTCAGAGTCCCCTCTGCACTGAAGTCTCTCTTTCTTCTCTCAGCTCGTATGTTGTTGTCAATCTTTGATCGAACAAAGTAGAACTTTTTCTTCATCCTCTGAATCTCCTGAGCGAGTTTCACGTCATTTTCTCTGAAGCGAGTGTCTGAGATGATGATGAAGAAGTCAAACTTCTCAAATCCAACAAGCTCCAGGTACTTATCAGCTGGAAACTTGGTGGTGCCGATTCCAGGAAGATCCCATAACATAACATTTGGAAAGTTTGGATGGGTGTAAGCTGCAACCTCTGAGGTGGTTTCTACAACACCAGTAGGAGCAGCTCCCTCATCTTTGTCATCTATCTCTCTGAAGGCATTAACAAAGGTGGATTTGCCTGAGCCACATTCTCCTGTGATGGCGATATTTAGTGGAATATTTTCTTGTTCTTCTAAATATTCTTGAACTTTTACAGCTGCTGCTGCAGAATCGTTGTTTTGCAGGGCTTTTTTAACGCCAGCAATTAGGTCCTCCATGTTGATCCTAAAATAGAAGAAAAATAAAAGGTGTAAAAATCACTGCAGCATCATTTGGAAATACTTAATATACAGACATCTGGTCAGTCATACAGGGAGTGCAGAATTATAAGGCAAGTTGTATTTTTGAGGAATGATTTTATT